GGACATGGTCCGGAGCTCAGCCCCGGGGCCGGGGCGGCGCTCTGGGCCCGGGCGGCGACATCCCCCCCCGCGGGAGCAGGAGTGTGAGGATGGTAGCCAGGGGTCGGGGGCCGCCGCGGAGCCCCTCGCCGCCTCCCCCAGAGCCCGGACGGTGGGGCACCCCCGCCTCCTCCCCGGTGCTCAGGCTGCACTCGGGTCCGGCAGGCCTGCGGGCGTCCGGGCTGGGGCGTTCCTCTCCGCGCCCCGACGCCTCGCCGACTCCCGCGGCTCCTCACCCGCCGCCCTCGGGCGCGGGGCTTCGCAGCTAGGCCCCTGCCGCCCTGTGGCCGGCGTCCGCGGGGCCCCGGGCCTCATACTCCTCTCCAGACAGGCCGCGGGCTGCGGGCGGGGCGGGCCGCGGAGCCCGGGCGCCTAGGACTGGGACGCGGCAGCAGGGTGGGGAGAGAGCCCCTGGGGGCGTCCCGTGAGGCGCTCTCGGCTCCGCGGCTCCTTGGGGCAGGCTGCGCGGGCCGTCCTGCTCCCGCCCCCGGGGCTGAGCTGGCGGCGTCGGCTTCCGAGCCTCAGAGCCGAGCCGAGTCCGGGGAAGCGCTCCTTTCCCAGCTCCAGTCGGAGAGCAGCCCGGCACCGAGAGGCGGAGTCACCGGCGCCTGGGGCGGGGTGTTGGGGGGGGGGGTGAGTAAGGAAAGCAGGGAGGGGGCGGCGAGTTGGGCTGCTGCGACGCCTCCCGGTCGCTCTGGCGGCACTAATACAGGGGACCGGAGCAGGTGTCCGGGCTGCAGTGCTGGCTACCACCTCGCCGGGGAACCCCTTTCGGGCACCAGTCTGCGCGTCGGCTTTGTAATCCCATCTTTATTTCCAAGACGCCGTCAAACTTTGCTCAACTTGATGGTGCCCTGCGGTCTTAGGGGCCGGGGGCCGCACGGCGCGTACCCGGAGACACCGGGACCTCTCGAGACCCAGTCCGAAGTCGAAGTTCCCTCTTGCTCGCTCGTTCGCCTTGGATACAACCGCAGCGTCAGGATTAGGAGGATTCCTTTGGGAAACTGATCCCGCTTGGGAATGGGAGGGAGTCCCTCGGCTCGGGGCGACCCTGGAACGAGGGCGTCTCCTCCCCCTTCCGAACGGGCGGCCGGCGTCAGCACCGCGGACAGCGCGTCGGTGCCGCAGCCCGGGGGCGGGCGGCGCTAGGGCTGCGGGGGCCCCCGGCGCGGGGTGAGGCAGGTCACCCCGCTGCTGCGTGCTCCCCGAGTCCTCCATTTCCTTTTCTACCTCCCACGTGTCCCCCCAACCCGAGGCTGGTACGGCCGTTGAAGCCGCGAGCTGCCAGGGCGGGGACGCTGCGGAATAGAGACGGGGGAGGAGTCAAGCAGGAGTGGGAGACCCAGGTGCCCGCGGGCGAGAAAGCGCCCAGGCCCGCCACCCCAGTTCCCCGCCAGCCCTGGATGGGGGAGCCTGCATACGGCCCTCGTTGCGGTAGGGTTGGGGTAGAGGAGATGTGAGGGTAGCCCAGTGGGCGACTCCCCGGAGGCCCGCAGGGAGGGGGCTCGGGAACGCCGGGGGAAAATCGTTGTCCTCCCGCCTAGCCGCGCTGTGCCGCTGGCGCTTCTCCGCCCGGAGCAAGCCGGCTGGGCCAGAGCCACAAAGTTCTGTGTTGAGGAGCGCCCTGGGCACCGACCGGAAACCGTCCTCTTTGGGCAGTCAGAGTTGCTGGAAGGGGGGCCCTGGTGATGAAGATGGGAAGATACAGATGACAGAGAGCAGATAGTGATGGTGACTGTGCTTAGATACCGCAGGTAGGCCAACTGTCACAAAATGCAAAGCCGCGCCCCCCCCCCCCATACGGGGCTGCCTAGCCTCCAACAACGGAAAACTCTAAGCTAAGGTCGACTCAAAGTGATGGCAGCAGCGTCAGGCTCCAAAAGTGGTCCCTGGACGAGCCTCTGTCACTCACTAAGCATTTCACAGCCTCTATACTAGAACCCTCCGACGCTGCGCCCCGACGCCGAAACTGGGGTGTAAGGGTAAGGGGTGCAGAGAGCTGCCGGAAAGCCACGAGGCATCTGACTTGGGACGTTGTTTCTCCCACATCAGGGTGCATGGGAAACGTGAGTCTTTCTAGAAACGTGCTACAGTTTACAGGTGGGGCCAACTGCAGCCCCCTCTGTATTAGGGAGGGGATAGATAGGGAAAGACCCCACCACCGCCAGAGGCAGAATTTCCTGACACTGGATAGCACGTGACTAGTTTTGCAGTGATCTTAGAACCGGGCAGGGGGACTTTTGTGTCGGAGGGAGAACATCTCATCCACTGAGAAAGCTGAGCCCCCTCCTCCGCTTTCTGGAGCCTTATACAAACGAGAAGTGTTGTCATTGTAGACTATCATCACCATTGTCACAATACACCTCAGCTGCTTACCCTCCACATCTTGGCCTCCTCTGGGGTCTCCTCGGGTGTCTCCGAGGCTCCCTTCCTCCAGCAGTTCTATCCCCACAAGCTCCTGCAGGCAGTGAGGACAGTCCAGCTGTGGGCTAGATTCCACCTGGCTGGGTAGCCCTGGCAGAAGCCCTGAGAAGTATCAGTCCAGGAGTTAGCCCTGGAGCCTCCAGATGCAGCTGAAGGGCATTACCAGGCCTCTCGGCGGCTGTCTTTGCCCAGACTCCGAGGGTAGGGACAGGGTGCTCCGCTGCAATGTTCTGTGCCTCTGGACCAGCTCCTTGCCCAGTTGGCAGAGGACCTGCCTTGTCCTCCAGCTTGTTATTCTAGCTTGATTAGCAGCAAACCCTTGGCATCAATCTCGACTCTGAATGACCAAATCAATTTATGTAATAGGGAAATGATGAGTTCCCTACACATCAGTGCGGGTCCTTTGGGGAACCAGCCGCATGATGAATGCAGCTGTTGCCCACTGAGTCAATATTTAAGTCACCATCTTCCAGCGGGCTATCTTCAAAGCCTTTACCTTAGCCCTGACTTGCAGCAACAGCTTCCTAAGGATGGGGGTTTGTTGTCTCAGACGTAAGCCCACTTAGGTCCACCCTGCCTGCACCTGCCCGTCCTTGCTGTGGATCATGATGGCCATCTGATCTGATCATATGACTAACTCCCCTAGTTTCCAATGGCTCCCTCTAAATTACCCAATTTTAATCTTAAAAATTTAGTCTTGAGGCTGCCATTCAAAGCCCTCAATGTGATTGCCAACAGATCCTTCCAGCATCACTTTCTACCACCTCCTACTTGTCCCCCAGGTGCCCCATACGTAACCCAATCGCCAGGCCTTTGCTTGTGCCGTGGCTCCTTCTGGAACACCACCGTCTTTCTTCTCCTCTCCAGTTTTTCAAACATACAGATCAACTCAGGTTAGATTTTTTTCCCCAAAAAAACTGTTCCTGTGTAGGATATTTTGATCCAATCACTTTGATGTCATTACTTCAAAGTGATGACAAGATCATTTCATCCCACTGTGCACTGAAGAACTTCAGACAAGATACCCGAGCAGGTGCAGCCTCTCTCTGCCTTTCTCTCTGTTTCTCTCTGTGTGTATTTCTGTCTTTTATAAACAAAAACACAATGGCAGGAAGACTGTTGTTGTTCGATGCTGTCGAGTCGGTTCTCACTCATAGTCGCCGTGTGTACAACGAAAGGAAACGCTGCCCGGTCCTGTACCATCCTCACAATCGCTGCTGTGTTGGAGCCCTTTGTTGCGGCCACTGTTGTCAGTCTATCTCGTTAAGGGTCTTCCTCTTTTTCGCTGGTGCTCTACCTTACCAAGGGTGGTGCGATGGATGTTTTATACGGCCTTTCTCACCATGGTCTTATAACTTCCACCCAAGTGACTGGGTGGGACTATACAAATAAGGTAATTGTGGCCCACCAAGGGATTGGATAGCTTGCTAATAACGCAAATAAAGTTCATGGCACCTGGGTGGGAGTGGGACATGCAAATAAGGCCTATGGAACCTTAACAAAGGTATCGGTCAGTTTTGCCATCCCGCTAGGCTTAAAATGAGCCATCCCAGAGATGGGAGGGGAGGATCTCACTGCCACCAAGGAAGAAAAGCCAAGGGCGGAGCGTGTCCTTTGGACCTGGATCCCTGCACTGAGAAGCTCCTGAAACCAGGAGACAGAGAGAGAGAGCTGTAACAATGAAGACAGTGAGTGACAATGAATGGCAGAGAAACAGCGGCAGAAGAGATCAGCAGGAGATGGCGTAGTGGGCTTCCTGGCCCACCGAGTGAGAAAGCAGAGTGCCTTTTAGCAGGAGGCTTACTGGCAGAGTAAGGTGCCTCCGGGCACTTGGTAGAGCTAGGTTTGCTGACCCACGGAGTTAGAGCTGAGCACCTTCGGGCCAAGGCTTACTGGCGGAGTAGGGTGACTCTGGACATTTATTGGCAGAGCTAAAAGAGCTTTGTAACACTTGCCAGAGCAGGGTAGAGGCTGAGAGGCCAGAGAGAAGCATGCCTGTGTGCACAGCTGAGAAGAGGCTGTGCTGATGGAAGAGCTGTACCCTGAGCCTTCCTGAACCTGAATTGTAACCTGTTACTTCCCTAGTAAACCCCATAATCATGAGTCTTGTCTGTGAGTTCTGTGTGGCTATCGCAAAGAAGTAGAGAGTGCCGTGAGAGGGATGGTTGGTGTCAGAATTGGTAAAGATTGTGGAGAGAGGAGGCATGACTGACCTCCGCCTCATAGGAATCAGCCGTGGGCTGTGGCTCTTGATTCTCGTTTCCCCTTGTGAAGCCTCCACCACACCATTTTTACACCAAGCATAATGTCTTTCTCCAGGGACTGGTCCCTCCTGATAATGTGTCCAAAGTATGTGAGACGAAGACTCACCATCCTCGCTTCCAAGGGGCACCCTGGCTGTGCTTTTTCCAGGACAGGCTTACTTGTTCGT